GTGTGTGTGTGTGTGTGTGTGTGTGTGTGTGTGTGTGTGTGTGTGTGGGCTCGCTATTCAGCGTGTGCACACGGTCGCCCACGTGCACCCTCTGAACATGCCTCTGTATATTAATGCGTGTGATCTCACCACACGTCTGTCCCGTCTTCTTCAGGCACATCGGTCACGTGGGCTGGGATCCAAACACAGGTTTTGATGTGAGTAACACACACATACACACACACACACAGGGAGCACAATAGTGACCTGTGTGGCGGCTGCATGATGAAATCACACAATAGGCTCTTTTTGCTTCCTGCTCATATTCAACGTCTCAGAAGCTTCACACAGAACATTGTGGAGATGAACTCGTCACAGAGTTTACTGCACACTGAAGGAATGAATACACCATGTTGGGTGTTTTTAGTAAAAGTTAAACATCCAAGTGAAGTAACATGAAGGAAGAGACGTTTCTTCAACATGTGATAACGTGACTCTAGTGGAGGTTTACTGAGTGGGATCGTAAACGGGTTGAATTATCATTTGGGTTTGACAGATGTTGACATCACTGAGCACAGACTAACGGTCTTAACGAGCAGGAGGTTTTCTATTCACTCCATCGTTTTTGTCTCCGTTCACCCGACTGACTGAGCGTGCTCAACGATGCCGTCAGTCACATGCCACACGGTCCCAGAATGCACTGCAGCGTGGCGGGAACACAGAGGTGTGAATGTGTTTGGAGGAGACGGCGCAGAGCTGCAGGTTAACGTTTGATTTGATGGGAAGCAGCTGAGTGGTTTGTTTTTCAGGCAGCTTGTAACTCCTCCTGTTGGCCACCAGGTGTCACACTGACTCTGTGACTGTTGAGTTCATCTTCACTGCAGAGGAAGAACCTCAACATGTGTCCACATGAAACAGAGCAGAGGACAGAGGAATGATGTAATAAAGCCTCAATAATAGAGTTCATGATGTGTGTTCCTCGTTAAAGGAGAGAGAGGAGAGACAAAATAAATAAAGTGACATGAAGGGCAACATTTTAAGAGAAGCGTTTCAAACCAAACCCCCGAGACTTCTGATACCTTTTCAAGTGACACAAGTTCAGCTTTTTTAAATCTCAGCCGTACTTTGTGCGAGTTTGCTGGATGTTGGCATGCTAACGCGCTAAACTAAGATGCTGAACATGGTGAACATTACACCTGCAGCTTGCTGGCGTCATCACTGTGAGCACGTTTATTCATGAACACATTATAAACTATCCTCCAGCTTTTTATACAAGCAAACACTTTGTCTCCTGTCGAGTGTTTTCAGCTGAAATGTCATTTTCTGAACTCGACACACAGTTCTAATCTTGTAACTGTCGACGTCATCAGCGCTAGGTGTTTGTGTGTTTTTGTTCTGAATGTTTGTCGATGTTGCAGCTGAACAACTTGGACCCTGAACTGAAGAACCTGTTCGACATGTGCGGAATCTCCGAAGCTCAGCTGAAGGACCGAGAGACATCCAAGGTCATCTACGACTTCATCGAGAAGAAGGGCGGCGTGGAGGCCGTGAAGAACGAGCTGAGGCGGCAGGGTGAGA